AACTGAGCGTGATGGTTGAAGAGGAGCATGCTAGCCATAGAAACTCTCTCCGCTTTTTCGTTTTTGGTCATCAGCACGTAAATGTTGTCGTCATTGTCAGTACCTACAGCGATGATTTTTCTGTTGTGTATTATGCGTTTATCTTCTGTAGGAGAAAAGGATTTTACAAACTTACCAGTGGCGTCAAATATTTTCACACATTCGTTGCCAGTTGAGTCGGCAACAAGGAACTGCCCGAGGGTATTTGTTGCTATACTAACCGCTGACTTGAGGTTTTGAAGCTCTTGTGCGCCCTCCTGACCAAATGACCAAGCTAAAGAACAATCGCTTATCTCTTGCTTACACAGTATGTTTGCCACTCTTGAATCACGAAGGGGGTCGACCTTCTCTTTTCCGGTTTCAATGCAGGGCCAAAACATGATCCATTCTTCACTACCCACCAATAACGTGAAATCGTAAATGGTACGATTTATTTGACAGACGGAGGAAATGATTTGCCTTCGCTCAACCTTGCTAAATCTTGACTTGATTCCCTTCTCGATTTCAACACTAAAATTCTCTGTAACAAACGGCATCGAGTGTAGTTCGTTGAGGCCAGATATACACGCGTCTAATGTACTCACTGGAGTTTCAACTTTTTCCAGTATTGTTGCCATTAGACGAACACCCATGGCAAGGATACGGTCCAAAGGGCTGAGGACTTCATTGTTAAAAGCCTCCGTTGCTTTCCGTCGAGCATCTTCAAACCTCTTCTTTGCGTCAACGATTGCTTCGGCGTCAAGTTCCCTCGTAATAAGAGATAATTCGTTTTTACCTTGGTCCACGAGGCTTTTCGTTGGAGAAGCAACTGAAGAAAACCACTTGGACCAAAATCGTCCCTTTTTCGCTGCTTCAGGACTGACTTTTGTACTGCTTTTGACTTGGTTGGCCCCTTTCACATTTTTTGAACCGCCTTCGTCCCGGGTTCTCGCATCCACTGCTTTATCAAGCAACACTAATCCCTCCCGGAAAAAGGATATACTTGCCCCGAGATCTTTCCTCGCCATTGCATCTAGCTTCGATTTCACGTTGTCTGTTTCGTCCATAATCCAGCTTTGTAATTGTTGGTCTGTAACGTCGCCATCCTTTAGTTTTTCTGATGCACGTTTTAGGCCTTTCTTTATGAGAAGGCCAATGGTTCCTTTTAACACTGTTGCTACAATTGCAGACATGCCTTGTTTGTCCTTCTCCGGGTATTAAGAAACAAGTACTTGAACTGTGGAAAACAGACAAAATAAAAGAAGTTAACCTATGTATCAATAAAGTACGACCTGACCGGCTGACGTCGTTTCTGGCGTCAGATCCGCTTATCCTGGCCTATTTTCCTTTCGTAAACGGTCTTTGCTATTATAAGCGGTCGATGCCACCATTGCTAACCAAGCCTTTAGTCATGACAGATGTAATATATTATATAAAGTTTTTTTTATTATAATTACATTGATGATTATGGAAAATAGCACGCTATGATTGGCTAGGAGCTTCGCTTCATTCCGCTATAATCACCGCGCGGTGATTATAACATTGAAGGCTAGCAGTTTTCAATGTGATTATACTAAAACAATTAGTCGCGTCAGGCGACGTGAATATCGGCGAATAGTCACCTCGACTTCGGTTCGGTGACTATTCGCCGATATTAACGTCGCCTGACGCGACTAATTGTTAAATAATACCTGGATTAAGTTACAATGAAGAACAACTCAAGGATCTGAGCCGAAAAGTAAACACCAGCATCCAGCCTGTGTTTGCCAGCCGGAAGATTGAACAAGAACTGAATGTGAAAGAAGCAAAGCCACTGATCGTAAATGAACAATGCCGGTAGTTTATAACTTCCAATGTGACCTGTGTGATGCAAGCAATGTAGGTTACAGACGCGGACATTTACACAATCGTGTAAAAGGACATAAACAACAGTCCTGGGTAATTGCCAAACATCACAAGAACGTACACGCGACGATCTCTCAGGACCTGTTGAAACGTTTCGAAGTGCAGAAACAAATTTGACTGTTTAGAGTACAAAATGCTTTTCATAAGAACCTTAAAGCCAAATCTCAACGTGCAATCAGACTCTATTCCTGCGAAAGTATTTTCATAATCTTCGCACCCTGTTATGTTAATTTTCGCGCTTCTTCGCTTTAAATGCTGTAAATTTACGTCGGATTTTATCGTTCGTTTTTACCATTTTATATAATAAGAAAAATAAAACGTTTTTGAATAGTCTTAGAAAGAACGACGTTGATCAATTGAAGCCCAAGTTGAATTTACGTTAAAAGTTATGGAAAGGGCTAGGGTCACCTATTATTGATGCATCAGTTAAGAAAAACAGTTTGTTAGTTTTTGTACTTAATTCGTTTCGAATTTTGGCGTGTTGGCATGGCAGCGACCGTTTACGAAAGGAACAACTGCGTCAAAGCCACCAAAGGACACCTGTTTGTGCCTGGTTTAAATTGATCAGCAACTCATTGAAGCTATGATACTTTGATCAAAACTTGAAACGTGGGGAAAAAAAATTGATGATAGTGATAGTTAGAAAACGCTTGTTAACTATTTGTTTCCGGGACGGCTGCACCTAGGAGGCATGACGTCCTACGATCGCCGTGCATTTTTTTATTTTGACTCTTTCTCAAGCCAACCAACATTCTGCTTGCTTTTCTTAGAATTAACACGGTGCAGTATCTTTGTTCTTTACCCTTTAAGCCCTGAGAGTGATCAGCATCGAATTCCTCCTTGCAATATCAATGCTATATAAAACAGAGAAGTCATGAGAATTACGGACATGATCACACAAGATGAATTTGCTTGATATTTTATCAACTTCTCCCCTCTACTTCTGTAGGAAATGAATAGGGGCAACAAATGAGAGATTGTTTTCTTGTGAAACTTGAACCATCTTCACGTATCTTAAACAGGTGAAAACTTAGCCTGCGTTCATGCCCTCTCCCTATTATCCCTTTATGTCTCTCACGGGAAGAGGGCATGATACATTTGTTTGTCGGATCACATGTAAAAAAAGCCAGAATCTGGACTTTTTCTGATTGGATAGGAAACAATACGAATGATTTGCGCTGTTCCGATTGGCCAAAATGCCGCCATCCGTTAGTTGTTGTTGATTTCAGTCTGCATTTTTGCTTGCATAATGAGCAGTGAATACACACGCGGACTAGTTATGAAATTTCTGCCGGCTCAGTTTTCTTGAATTTGAAGAATGCCTAAATAGAAATTTCATCCATTGAAATATTTTCCATCTCATCGTATACTAAAAATTCACGATTCACCGATCATTTGAATGCAATTTGATACCGGCTAAAAGTTACCCGACAGAAGCGATAAACGGGTTCACTTTTCAAATAATCAATTCATGAATGGAATCTTGACCCGGTTTGACTGTAGTTCCTACTTCAGAAACCTGCGAATTATTCTGAGCGATCTTCGTTTTCAAAACACCTTTCGGTTCGTGAAATATGGTGCTTCAGCCTAATTTTTTTTTTTCACTGCTTTCGGTACAGAACGAAGTCAACGAGCTTTAACCAGTAAATTCTTTATTATTTGTAGCTGTTAAATAAAGGTACGGCAGCTCCAGCTAGCAGTATTTCATCACAAAAACAACACATGTAATTTTTTTTTTTAGGAAGCGCCATCTGAACATGGAAGAGACATTATTCGCGCCAAAATTTGATTCCCGTATGGTAAATGCTTATTGGCTAATAACATAACAGGTGAAGGGGACGTTAGATTATGTAAATTAGGGGGCGGTTGACGGCTTGTTAAATAAATGTATCAGGCGTTATTTTTTCCCCTCTCGAGCCAAAGAAGCAAAAAAATAATAATAATAAAATAACGTCTGATCTCAGGTTAGTGAAAACTTAACTCCCATCGTGCATGCTTGAAAACTAAAGTTAGACAATCAGTGGATTTTTTATTATTATTATTGATTTTTTAAAATACGTGCACATGTTAGTTTGAGTTCTCGATTTATTTTCGCAACAATATGGAATGGTTGCTCTTAATACGGTATATAAATTTACATGTATTGTAGCTTTGGTAATGTAGGCGTCATCGGAGGGTGGCCGGGTCGATGGCCATTTACTTGAGGTATTAATAGAAAATGCATACCATGTAAGATGTTTAAGCGCAACCGTGTAATATCTATTGTTATGAAAATCGTCTTGTTTTATTTTGGGTTCTGTGATGTTTGCAAATTGCCGAGGACTGTTGTTTATGTCCTTTTACACGATTGTGTTAATGTCCGCGTGTGCAACCTACATAGACAGCATCAGACAGGTCACATTGGAAGTTATAAACTATCGGCATTGTTCATTTACGATCGGTGTTTGCTTCTTTCACATTCAGTTCTTTGGGTTCTAAACACAGTGCCCATACGTAACTCGTACACGTATCACTTGAGTCACAGGAATGCTAATTAGTATAGGTGATAGCATGATTTGTAGTGATATGTGGCATAAATACCACGAGTGATATTTCGAAATTGTTTTACGTACGTTATTTGTACGTAATGCCAAATATCACATACAAATCATACTATTATTTGTTTACACTACTGCTAATTAGTATAGGTAATAGCATGATCTGCAGTGATATTTGGCATAAATACCACGAGTGATATTTCTAAGTTTTACGTACGTTATTTGTACGTAATGCCAAACTAAATCACGTACATGTACAAATCATACTATTATTTGTTTACAATACTACCCGCAAAAATTTTGTAATTTTCGCATGTAGGTATTTCAAATTAAGATGAAATACCACTGCTCTAAGCCTATCAAATTGCAGAAATTTCTCATGTAGTAGTAGAACAGATGTAATCTCACCACTAAAGAGGCAAAAGATAAAACGTATCTTTGCATAAATTGAATTCTACAAAAATTGATGGACCATACAGTTTTGTTAATTAAGACTATATTTAGATNATTAGTATAGGTAATAGCATGATCTGCAGTGATATTTGGCATAAATACCACGAGTGATATTTCTAAGTTTTACGTACGTTATTTGTACGTAATGCCAAACTAAATCACGTACATGTACAAATCATACTATTATTTGTTTACAATACTACCCGCAAAAATTTTGTAATTTTCGCATGTAGGTATTTCAAATTAAGATGAAATACCACTGCTCTAAGCCTATCAAATTGCAGAAATTTCTCATGTAGTAGTAGAACAGATGTAATCTCACCACTAAAGAGGCAAAAGATAAAACGTATCTTTGCATAAATTGAATTCTACAAAAATTGATGGACCATACAGTTTTGTTAATTAAGACTATATTTAGATAGGGAACTATTTCTATCGTCTGTTGCTACTGATGATGGACATTTAGAAGCCTGAAAAAGTTGTGCCGATTTTTTCAAGTTTTAATGCCATGCCTACAAAAATCACGAAAACATTTTATGGTTAATGCTCCTTAACTCTTTCAACCCTAATATCAAAATTCAAATTCTCATTTGTTATCCCTACACGTTTTTAATAGAAGTAGTGGGGAGAATGTGTTGAAGTATCAGTTAGATTCACCTTGTGTGATCACGTCCTCGATTCTCATGACCTCTGTATCTTATAAAGCAGTGATATTACGAGGAGAAATTTGATGCTGATCACTCTTAGGGCTTAAAGGGTTTAGTGAAGTTTGTTTTATATCTTCATCAAACTCTACAGTACAAGTGGAGCCATTTTTGTGTGAGTAAAGTTACAAAGTAATGACTTAAGCACAGAATTATCCTAAACCAACAATTGCCTCGTAGCATGTCCCGAAAACGTTTGTCCAGTTATAAAATCTTAATTTAGTAGCCGATCCGCTCATGTACCTAAAAACATTGCTCTTGTTCACCCACGCATATTTTCTCGTTTTTTTTTTTTTGGTAACCTGGCCACTCATGCGCATAAACAAATCTATTTCTAGCGGCTGATCCATTCATGTGAGCGGTGGCCGTTCCACTCAAGCACAGTAGCACTACGATTTGAACTAAAACGATCGACTTAATAACAAACTCGAAAAAATAAATAAATAAATAAACCGGGAAAATTTACCCAAGAGGTGAAGCAAGAGCTCCTGAATTCTTCCTGGGATGAAGTTCAATGGCGGCAGGGTTTTAACCTCTAAACACAACTATGAATGCCCTTAGGTAACTCGTACACGTATCACTCGAGTCACAGTA